GAGTAGGAGTAGTGGTAGTGGTAGTAGTAGTAGTAGTAGTAGTAGAAATAGTAGTAGAGGTGGTAGTAGTAGTAGTAGTAGACGTTGTTGTAGTTGTGGTTGTTGTTCTACCTGGTGGCCTGGTTGTGAGGAGGGCGGTATGTATGATTCGTGGTGTGGTTCGGGCGTATGATTCGCACAGATCGAACTTCCATTCTTTAGTAAACCTTGGGCACCATAAAAAAGCAGACACCCATATGTATATATATATATATATTTATATGTGGCACCCCCCCATTTCTGAATGCCACAAAACCACTGAGACAAAAAAGGCATAACACGCTGGACAAGTACAACTCAAACTCACCGAACCTGGGGTCCATGGGGTGGGTAGCATATTAGATATATGTGTGCGCACATGTTATGTGTGTATGAGCATATGATAGCACATGTGCAAGGGCAAGTACATCATCTTGGAGACCGCCCAGAGTGGCGCGCGACACTCCCATGGGCACGCTTGTTTGTTTGCTTGCTTGTTTGTTTGCTTGCTTGCTTGCTTGCTTGTTTGTTTGTTTGTCTGTTTGTTTGGTTGTTTGTTTGTTTCGCTAGCCGGATGTGTTGTGTTGCACAAATCTGGGTGAATCATGGCTACTTCTGGATCCTTGCAGCCCATAGAGCATGTTGACGGTTTCGATGCACGCGGAGAGTCGTTGCCCTCCAAGACCCTCCAAATGAATCAGAAACATTCCTAAAGCTCCCCTGCATAATCTCTAAATTTACTGATATTTCTTTAAAACATGTATCACATGAGCCTGTTTGTTAATAAAGAAAACGCATATGGAATAAGGATAGCAAAAAACATGTTATATAGATAATAGCAAAATAGAAGGATTTTTAGAAATTAGGCAACTAACTTTACTGCCTTAATGTTGTGATTCAATAGATTGGAGTTTAATTAACCAAGACTTACTTGAAAGATTATTACAAAGATATAGCAGAAAAAAGTACTTCCTTTCTTGGATAACGATGCCTTTAAATGGTGCAAGAAAATGAATAGCCTGCAAAACAGCGTTCTTTGTTTGCAACAAACCATTTCTTTGTTTGCAAAAACAACTTCTTTATTGACAAATCTCGCGACCATGGGACATATTGTTGTCCAAGCAGCCGCCAAGAATCCAAGCGCTGCGTGTTTTCCATCTTCAAACACCGGCTTCTGTTTGCGCAGTACCCGTGGTTTTGAACATGGGGACAGCCAGCCTTCGTGTTCGCCCAGGTATCGCGGGAACCCTCAATCTGCGACAAGAGAACAGACACTGCACCCATGGCAACTCAGAATACATAAACCCCTGATTGAAAAAATAGAGGAGTTCACCATCAAACTACTGCAAAGTTTAGTTCATTCGGGTGAACACCAACCTGAACAATCAAGTACACCCTCAAACAAAGGGCATATATTGCTTCCGAACAGGGACTCTCCCTTGCGTAGCGACCAGAATTGATACCGCGCCAATGTACAAAATACTGGAAGTGGACCGACATCGCAAGCACCTCGCGCTGTGAATTGCGGGACTTGCGACAGACATCGCCCGTTGCTGCGGCTCAGAGCCGCTCCCGCCTCGAGCTGACCCTCCACCGTTTCTAGGCCTCGCGCGCCGGAAACTGTATATGAAGAAAGCTGAAGCCAATAGGAACATCCGCACCCAACACTTCAAACTGGCACAAACAGCAACCCAAGTTGGACATTGGATCGGATGTTGCTCCTTATGTTGCTAAAGGAACACTCAGGACAATCAAGCATTTGTCGAGGGGCGCTTCTTATTTGAAACAAGCCTTTTTGGGGGATGGTGTTTCAAGGATGCCGACATGAAACCAGTTCAACCATGGGTTCGCTTTAAATCCCAAATCCATGCGGCCCATTCCCCGACATTGGACCATGTGGTCTCCGGCGGAAAAAGCGTTTTATCAGAAAACCGAGAGGGGACTATTCAAACAAATGCCGAGCTGCACCCACCACAAGCAATACCTGGTTACATTGTCCGTTTGGCAATCGGGTTGGCAGTTTGACCTGCAACAGGTTGTCCCTTTAAAATGTGTGTTCCTCGAAGGTTGAAGCGTTCTTCTCGAACCAAAGAGGTCAAGCTGCTGTCCTTCTGCATTGGTTCCTCGCAAAAGGATGATCCAACTCTGAGTTCGACCCCCGCCCGCGGTTCACATTGAACCCAGCAACAGTTCGGACCTTTGCCGTCTGGTTGGGGGGAACATCCTCCTTTCCACTTCCCCAACCCGATGCAAAGGCACGCGTAAGCCACAGCAACCTTGCTGAAATATCATCCCACATAATTATAAAACATAATAATACACAAAGCAACATCTAATCACATGCCGTTTCACATATTGACAACACTTCAAACAAAAATCAACATGTCAACAATCATCAATGCCAAGAAACAACACCCACGAACAAACCCCTCCAACGGAGGGTCAAAGGCCCTGAACGCTCTCGGCCTCGCCAGCCCACCAGCTCCAACTGGCCGTCCGACATCTCCTGGCTGGGCAGCACCTGGTACTGCACCTGGCGAGCGACTGTTGCTGGGACCGGCGGCTCTCGGCGTTTCTCGAAAACGGGCGGCGCGTCGCTTTTGTTGTTTGGAAGAAGCGACATCCTTTTTGGCGGCTTTCTGAAGGGAGCCCAAAAGGAGAACTGAAATGCGGTTTTGGAGGGTCCCCCTAAAAAGACACACCCAAATGGTGCAGAAGGGGCCAGCCTTTCAGCATCTTTCAGCTCTCAAATGGTCCCCTTTGATGGCTTCGAGGGGAAGTGTCCAAAGCCCCGATGTCCAATCAGAAAGCACAAAGATCGCAGCCTTTTCGGAGCTTTCGCTTCGAAATTATACTTCTCCCTTCGCACCCTTTCGCGGACGTCAAGATGTCTGCGCCAACGGGTTTCGAACTGCTCACATGGGCCTCCACATAAAAAGACAACCCAGGCAACATCCGCAGGTAGCTCTTTCAAGGCGGCACCCTGCCACGCTTCTCTAATGTGAAACGCTACTTTCCAATCCGCTTTTGAAGGATGCCCAATCTAAGTGAGGTGGGTCGTGCAAACCTGGCACCGTCCAAACATTCAACACACGAGTCACAAAACGAGCCACCTCCCACGAGTCGTCACATCGCCTGGCCAGAGATCGTCTTGGAAGAGCGGGCCGCAGCCTGGAAGGAAGCTGTCCAGGCGGGTGCCTTTGCGACCCCTTCCGGCGCAAAAGAAGCGCCTCATATTTTTCTCAGAATCATGGAAAAACGATCAAAACAATCTACAAAGGGGATACCGCAAAGAACCTTCAAACAACCCAAGCAACTGTGTCCGTGTGCGCGCGTGGTTCATGCCTTTTGGTGGGATTCCCACTCTGACTCCTCATTTTGACCCATGCGTCCATGGCCCCCCGTTTTTCAGGCATCTTGTTGGCTTCCATCAGTGCAAAAGAAGAGGCACACATCTCTGGCACCCCGTGCATATTCTGTGTCGCAAGCCTTGAGCTAGGCCCTTTAGTCCTGATAGGAAACTCGATTGGACAAAGGAAATTAAAGCATGGGGAGTATGCCCACCATTTTGGAGTGCTGATTGAACTCCATTGCCGTCTTGCTATCCTGGCTCGGGAAAGCAGCCATTCGCCTGAACATTGGGAGGAACATTTTTCACTTCCTGAGTAGATTGGCTCAAACAAGTCCAAACTGTTCGTTTGCCACCAAAATGGTTCAAATCCAAAAAGCGACTAAAAACCAGTGAAAACTCACCCCTTCCCCATATGGACCCGGAAGCGTGAGCGCCTTCCAATCGTCCCAGTCGATAGTGCACCAAGCGCGCCAGCCATCGCCTTCCCAAATGCCTGGCTGGAAGCTTTGGTTTTGCAACCTAAGAGGCACTCACAAGTCATCAAAGCCCGGCTTTCTCACGGAGTCGATCTCCCCAGAAATCATTCCAAGAATTTAGAGCCTCTTCACCCCTTCGCTTGCAACCAGGAGGTTGGTGCTTTCATCCCAAATGCACCCAACCAAACCATGTAATATGTGTAAACCATCTAAAGCAACCAAAACCATTTGGTGAACCCCTTTCAATCTGGACAGGGAGGTTAGCTGCGAGCGCTTGATCGGGTTCCAGAAGGGTTTGACCACTCGGTAAAGCCGAATAGACTGTCTAGACCCACAAGAATCCTGAGCGATTCAATGTGCCATAAGCCCATGCCAACTCATGCCAACTCATACCATTTGGATGGTCTCCGTGTCTGTGGTAGACAATATGCGGGGTGAAAAATTGTGCGGGTCGCAAGTCGGACCCTGGAATGAGTTGAGCGCAACAGCAACTCCGCACAACATGGAACCCAAAAGCCAATGATCTGTCGCAGCCCTCCCCCCCCCAACCGACTGTATTTCGGAAGCACTTGCGAATGTGCAAATGGAGTGTGTTTATTGTCTGAATATTTTTTTGTGGGGAACTCGAAGTGAAGTCTAAAGCACTCTGGCCCGGAATGCTGACAGTGTTGGCATGTGTTGGCCCGAAAGGGCCTGGAGTATCTCATTGCACCCACGAAACAGAAACAAGGCCTGACTGTGCTTTCGATTCCGAGTATCCAGACCCAAGTCAACTCCTGGTCTCAGGCTTTGATTGATCCATTGTCTCCGTCGGCGCAATCCGAACGGACTCGGCGAATCCGCCTGCGTAGCGCGTCCCTTCCTGGGCGCCTAACAGCTCCAGGCCCGGCAGCAGCGTGGAACTGTGCCGGGGCCGGGTGTCTCGAGACTCGAAACGACTCGCCGGGTTCGGACCCAAAGGAAACGGAAGCCTCTGTCAGGCTTTTCCATGGCTTCCTCGGGTTACTTACCACGGATTGCCAGCACTGGGCGAGTAACCGACCTTGAAAGCGACAGACCCAACGAAACCGATAGCCTATAGCATTATTGCCCGCTCACTTCTATCAACCGCATGGGACCAACAAAATGGCTGTTCATGACTTTGATTTCCAACTTGGAGGGGGTTTAGGACCCGGAAACTGTCTTCGGAACCCGCTGAGGTGGCACCCGCCAGCTTCGGAAAGGGTCGCAAGTGGCTCGGCACAGACAAACGCATGGGACATGGGTCGTAAAGCAGGGGACACCAAAACCTTTGCAAGTTTCCTGGTGGCTTCCGGTTAAACGCACTCACAAAGGAGTACCCGCAAAAAACACACACCCACATTGAGGAAACAACTTTGGGCGAGGTTGTGGGTTGGGGGGCCTTGCTCTAAACCAACAGAGGAAGCAAGGGAACCCGAGCAATGAAAAGAAGTTATTCCTTCCTTTGACAACCCCCTTCGAGGTTCATATCAAGCCCTCATAGAGTCCGTTTCCTCAGTCATCGCAAAGGGTAGCCGGGTGCTGATCTCAAGTTTTTCCAGCTTGGCTTGGAAAGTCGTTGGGGCCGCAAGAAGCGAGGCACAACACCCTGATACTTTTAAGCGGCCTACCAGGTCAAGAACTGAAAGGGCGTCCGCGCAAGTTTATGGTTGCGCGGGTGTTCAGCCACGTTAGTCAGTTGTTGGTTTACACCCACTTATACATAAGTTCCCCGAAGTGGGTTAATACCCCAAGTGGCTAGCCACTTACTAACTTGGCAACGAACATCCAAGTAGTGTCCCTCCCGCGTTTTGAGTGTGGCTCAAGCTACTCAGGTTTTGCCGGGTGAGGAGTGGGCCCCAAACTGCCAGCCTCAAACCCCAGGTTTGGGGTGTTCAATGGAGGGGCACCGTCCACAAAAAGCAGGCTTTGGGTACGTGACGCAAGAATGGAACTGGTCTGAGTATGGTTTTGCTTCTCGGAATCCAAATCCGCCGACATTGCTTGGCGTGTCGGACACCTAAGAGAGGATAGAGGATAACCCCCCCCCTAACCCCCCCCCCCACCCGACGTCTGATACGTGGCCAAGGACCGCGCGGCAATTTGATGACGTTCCACTAAACGTAGTCTTCGGGGACCCGGTGTCGCAAAACAGGGGTCCCAGGCTCGATTCCCCCTGCCGGCTTTTTTGCTGGCTTGGGCTTCCTGCATCCTTTTGCCGAAAATCTGGAAAAACTCGGTGTTTTTGGACATCATCTTTGCGAAAACGCTGGAAAAACTGTGTTTTTTTGCGGGAAACACTGGGGAGCCAAGGGGAAGTGCAAGGATACATACATACATACATACAGACATACATACAGACAGACATACAGACATACAGACATACATACAGGGGGGATGGGGAGGATGGGGAGCGGAGGGAGGGAGAGAGGACGACAGAACACACCAGGGAGACAAGGGAGAGAGGAAGAAGGAGAAAAGGGAGAGGACAATGTCGGCGGACTGAGCCGGAGGCTCTAAAGTTTCCAGGTGCTTGGTTCCTTTTGGTCTCCCTACCTCGACCCGAAAAGTTCCTTTACCCCACACACCTGGGGTGAATTCCCTTTCTGTGGCTAGCTTGAGGGGCCTGGTACCCCCCCCCCCCCCACGCCGCCCCGATTTTGAGAAACACCGATTGGTCGCCAGAAACCCGGGCCGATTTCAGCTTCAGGTGCCCCTTCTGCTGCGCCTGAGCTTCAGCATGCTGCCACCAAGCCTGAGCAATCCGGCGAGTAAAAACAAACAAACCAGAAAAGCAAGAAAACAACTGGGCTGTCCTCAGATCCCCTGCTTCACGCGATAAGTTCACTTTGAGTGGTTTAGTGGAAACTACCACTAAACCCTAACAAGCTAAAATAAGCTCAGGTGATATCCCCAACAGCATGCGGTGCTCTCGCACCACGCCGCAGCCCTGGTGGAAAACCGTGGTGGAACTCTGGTGAACCCTCGTGCAACCTTACCTCAGGGCAACCCCGGACCACCCCGGAGCCTATCTGGGCTGAGACGTCAAAACTTTCAGCTGTTGAGAAAAAACTTAAGGGGATGGTTGGGAACCGCCAAGACAATTGGTTCGAAAGCATGACGTTTCACAGTTTCCGAGGTTAAGCTTTCATTCACCCAGCCACGAGGCAAACGTACACATCTTCCTTCAAAGACTTGAAAGCTTGGGCCTGGGTCTGAACAAGTCAGAATGCGACACCAAAAGCCATGGCTCCTCCGTTTCTCAGGCAACTTGGTTGACTGCTGGTATCCTAAACTCAAAGCTGCCATCACCATGGCGATAGAAGAGTGTGCGCTTCCGAGGTCAACACTTAGCTATGCCCATGTAACCCCTTCAAGGCTAGTGTGACCCTCCCGGAGATATCCTTCATAGCAGCCTGGAAACCAGACTGGGGAACACCATCTGCCCAGCTGAGTTGAACATTTTGTTCAAACTTTTTGGGCCTTGACTCAAATGAGGACACCCACAGAATTGCTTTGAGGTTTGCTAACTCAACAGGCAAGCCATGGTGTTCCTTATCTCACCTCCTGCGATGGTCAAGACCAGTCCGGACTTGTTGAACGCGAATCAAAAGGTCCAAAGCCAAAACGTGATTAAAGTCCAGGAACTGAGGAAGTGAGCTATAACCTCATGGACAAACACATCATGCAGTCCTAAGAACACCAGGAGCAAGGTCAAAGAGAAAGAGGTGTGTCTCCGGAAACGGGGAGGAAAACTCGACCCCCCGGACGAGCGATTCGACGATTTACGTGGACGTTTGGTCTGAACCTGCCAAATGGGCTTGGGCTCATATTCTTCTCCCTTTTGTTCAACCCATCCCCCAGTTTCCCATTTATATATATATTTTTGTGTATCCATTTGTTTCGTAACCCAAGCCCTCCGCGCGCAGTCTGCGCGAGGCAAGGGCAACGCGTGGCTGGGTCTCGGAGCGCGGTGCCCGGCATCGGCTCCGCCTCCGCCTCGAGGCCCAGCTTCGCGAGCAGCGACGGAGACCTCGATCTGCAAGGGCGCGAAAGCGCTCCGCGCAGTCCGCGCAGGGGTCGGTGGGTGGGAGTTGGGGGGTGGGGTTGGGGGGTGGGGTTGGGGGTTGGGGGTTGGGGGTGAGTGGGTGGGTGTGAGGAGGTGGACGACGCCACATTACCTTTTCAGGACCTATGGCCTACACGCAAGTGTTCGGGGACCTATTACGTCGCACCACGGTATCTTGATGACCAGTACCGTACCCCTTGTCCGAAATAGTGTTCAACTTTTTTGCAGGTTGCAAACTATAAAAGTTCTCCCAATGCAAGTTCCGGGCCTTCCTAGACTTCGACCTGCAAAACGTGAGAGGACTTGTTCGGGCAAATGGTCACTTGCAAAGGACAAAAGATGACAAAAGCAAAAGCATTTCGGGTCCGTGGGAAGGCTCCGACGCCGAACGCACTTTGGGCTTCGGGCACTAAGTTGGTGGAGAGGCCGCTGTCAAGCATGAAGGTCGCCTACCGTCCGATCGGGGCGGTATGCACCCGGCCGGGACCCGAAACAAACCCGGCCACGCCCCAAGTTGCGCTTCAACGGGGGTGCCAATAAGACCAAACAAAATGAGGCTGGGTTGAAAGATACATCACCTGGACATCTCTCGTGGTCTGGAGGGAAATCACGCCCCACTAGTAATCTTGCGCCTTACCGGGGCCTCATGGGTCTTGTTCTTCGCCGCGTACCTCAAACAAAACCGGGTGCAGTTAGCAACGAGTGGACTTGGCCAAGATGCCGCGAGTCGCCGTTAGATACCTTTAGAGCTGCCTCAACCTTCCTCGTCGGACCATGGCTTTTGGCGTTGAACCAACAACTTTTTGCCTGATGATTTGGGTGTTGGGATTCAATGCAAGGGCAATTCAAAGACAACAACTAATCCTCCAGGTCACCCAGACCCCACTTGCAACAGGGAGGTCTGCAAGGCTACCCCAGGCTCCCGTTACGCGGGTACCCTCGGACTGGGGGCAAACTGGGCTCAAAAAACACACACCCTTGTGGCTATGATGTTTTTAATGGGTGTCGGACCTTTTGATCAAACTACGGCGGTGGGATTTCTGTCCAACCACTGAGGTGGCTCCCGAAACCCGGTTTTGCGCCTCTACCGGCATGCCGTCCCGGGTCAGCACCCTGGACATGATTCAAGAACTCGCTTCGAATCAGAGCCGGCCTCACGTTTTCACCAAGTTCACCCTTGGAGAAAGTAGAGTAAATTGTTGAGTTGGGACAAAAACAAGTTCCCAAAATGTTTGTTTGCCACTAACCAAACCAAGAAAGTGACTAAAGTCCAGATACTGAAGGAGTGAGTACAGGGAAACGGCACCAATTGACTTTCACACCCAGAAAGCGTCAACAGACGGTCTGGTCGGAGCTGGCGAACTACTATTCAGTAATTAGAAAACGGGGAATCCACCAGTCAACTGGCCTGCCTTTGACCCCTAGAAGAAGTCAAAATAATGACCCCAAGGCAAGGACCCATCTAGCATGTGGGTTCATTTTACCCCGAACTTCGTTGTGAACCGCCTGCCAACAAGCATGACAGAGATATGGTTTCTTCCCCACGACGTGGGCAAACCTCACGTCTAAACCGCGCTTGTAGGCTGAAACTTGGGGTTCCTCCAAAAAAAATACCGCTTTAAGATAGTCGGTTCCCAGATATACCTGTGGATGGACGAAATCCATTTCGCATCATCTAAGAAACGCAGGTTTCTGATCATTCCCCTGTAAATAGTGGTTTCCCATAGTTGCAAAGTGGTTCAGAATTGCATCCCTACATTGGTCAACATACACTACATGTTTTTGCATTTCGCACTGGGGTCTGTCGGCATGTGCGGCTCCGGTATAGGACATGGCGAAGAAAGCAGGGCTCGTCCGCTGCTCGGGACATTTTCAGTGAGTGCACCCCTTGTTTCGACCTGGGTGTGTCTTCGGGTGCCCATTTTGTTAACGTCAAAGTGGAACAGGGAAATCACCCTTTCTGGGTCCTGTTTGAGACAAACCCAAATGCCCCGTTTCGGTTGGTTGAAACATCACCTGCAAAACCCAGCTTTGACTTGGCGCTACTGGGCCTAAAACTCATTGAATTGACGTGGGCTCTACCAATTGTATAACCGTCATGAAGCCAGGTAGTAAAACCACCCACTGATCTTAGTCTACCCGTCAAGGCGGATGCAATGCACCAGACATGGTCTAGTCACGGAAATGGCCCAAAAGAGGCGTTGGGCTCACCTGCAAAAAACAACAACCTCACCAAGTTTTTCTCTCCCACTCTCTTCTAGATTGATATCGGTTTCTTGAAATGTTGAAGCGTTTACTGTGTTTTATATATTAATAGTTTAAAAGTTTATGTTTATTGTGTGATTATCATTGTCGTTCATATTCTTAGCGGTCCTCCTCTTCTTCTTCTTCTTCTTATTCTGCTTCTTCAAACGATTCATACATTTCATAGTTCGAAATATCAGCTTCATCTTATTCAACTTGCAATAGATACTTCTTTTTTGACTCATTCCTCATGTTTCTATGAGATAGGGCTTGAACAACATATTTGTTATATACGTCATAAAATCAGCCTCCAACAAGGGCACCCTCCAAACAGCAACCCTCCCAAAACGGGAGCCTCCAGGCCTTCAGCGACCCCTAGGTCCTCATGGTCCTCCAGTACAGAGGTTAGAATGAGGGCACCCATTTTTTCTGTAGTTTATTTTGGTCGACTAACCCTCCCCCAAAAAGAAGTTAAAAAGGGCACTACTGCGGGACCTAGACCCCATGTGTTTCTTCCCGCCTGACATCCACCAGGTCGTAGCCGGCGCCCACAAGCGACTTGTCCTTCAAGTCCTCTTCGACGCGAGACGCGAGCCCTTCGCATGGGAGGAGGCGATTCGGTGTCGACCCTTCTGGGGACGCCGAATTTTCGGCCTCTGGCGGTGGCTCAAACCAATGTGCAAAAAGTGGTCCCCTTGGTAAATGGAACCAAAGACCCGAGCTCTCTAATTTTGAGCCACACCCAAATAGGTTTATTCTGAGGACGCAGGCTGCAACAGGTCGAGGAGCAACCGCAAAATCTGCTGGGAACCGAGCCTTCAGTCCCCAACCCAAAAATCAGTTGGGTGAAAGTAGATCGCGCAATTCCCTCGTTTGAATTTAGTCCCCGTCACTTGTGCCGGGAACTGCGCCATCTACTTTGACCCTGGCCCTTGACTAAACCAAAAAAGTGCACCCACCTCACCACCATGTCAAAATACGACTTTACCAACATTACCAAAATAAAAATACAAAAACGCGGGGTTCTCCTTTTTGCCCCCCCCCCCCCCCGGCCCCGTAGGGACCGAAGGAAACGAAAACCCACGAGACCCGTCGCTCCAGGCGCCGCAGGGGGGCGCTGAAACTGGCCGTGGCCTGGAATCCAGAGACAGAACCCCAGACTCCACTTGAGCAACCCGCAAAGAGAAATCAGTGTAGATACACATATTATAGTAAACACATTATTTACATAATATAAACATATACATAATATATGTATCAACACGTTATGTATATCATTTAAACATAATATCAGCTACCCCCGAGTTGATGGTTTGGAGCCCGGTGGTTGGTTCAGGGGAGGATGGAGAGCTTTTTATTCCAACTTGCGTGATCCACACATGTTCCTCCCAAACTTGTGGAACTCGTGTACGTCCCTTTTGAACAGACTCCTCTTCCAGGGCTGTGGAGCTCCATGATTGAATCGGGCATGTCAACTGAACCAGTGGACAATCAATCCATCAACGGACGTACACAAGGGGGCAAATTCCAGAGTGGCATCCAAAGCCCGGCAACTTTTGAGCTGAAAGGAGTGTTCCAAACAGGTTCCGAACAGATAATCAATATACAAACAAGATTTCCGTGTTGGCTCCCCTTGCCGAGAAAAGTTGGTAAACCTCCAAGACACAAACACAACCCTATTTGGGAGTAGCTTCTTTTAGGGGACCCCACCCCCAAAAAGAAAGAAGAAAAGAAAGATGGTTACTCAGTTGGTGACCCTTTAAACCACCCCAAAACGGACACCCGCAAAAAAAGCAAAGCAGGAAACTGCTGCCTGCCGCGCCAGCCCCTCTGCCCGGAGCGTCCGGAACGCGGGGACGCCGCCGGGTGCCCTGGCAATTGTTCATTGGATTGCATGTGCGCCATGGTCAAAACACCTTATACAGCCGGTCATGGTTCCCATAATAGGAATGTATAGGAATCAGTATAACAGGTGGATGACCATCACTTTTTCCCGCAAGTAAGGGAGTCTGTCGAGCATGGCGCATGTGTAGCGCCTAAAAGCCCCTGTGAATTTTGGGGGTCTCTTTCTGACCCTTAAAGAGGGTGGGCTTAAAAGGAAGCCAAAAAGAAAACCACCATTTTGGGAATCCCCTGAATTTGACACCCTTTTGGTTCTATCAACATGGTTTGCTCAAGGTTTTTGTAGGCCTTTCTAGAACCGCAACAAGGCGAGCTCATGTGGGAAGGAAGGGCCCCCCAAGTTTGAAGAGAAAGCCATCCCGGTGCTTGGAATTCTTCGCCACGGCCAACTTCCATGGCTCTGGCTGCTAGCTACGTGACCGTATGCGAGATCGGATGCGATCCACACGCAATGTTCTTTGCGGCCGGCCGGTAGACACCGTTAAACGGGTACCAACTGGCAGTGGGGTGATGTTCGGCTTCGCAAGAAAGAGTGTGCCGTGTAGGCTTTCTTTCGGCTTTCGTTAACCAAAAGTTCTCACATGGGTGTGCCTTGTTCTTTTGGCAGTTATCCATTGTTTGTGGTGCTGAAGGGAAACAAGGAGGAAAACCAACATTTCGGGTTCCCCCAAAAACAAACCCACACTAACTCCTTCCTTTTAGGGTGCCGAGTTTTAACCCGATTTGGAGTGCCGAAATGATTTTGAAGGGATAAAGCTGTTGACCCAGGGGCCAAAAGGGCAGTGAAGACACTGGCTCGTTTTGTTGGCGCGCCAAAGGGGGGGAGGGAATTCTCACCAGCTGGTAGCAAAGACTAGCAAAGTATTGCCTGAGGGAAGGGAGTGGAAAATGGGACAACCAACTTGAAGCTGAGATAGAAGAGGGCTTCCCCAGTCACAGATGTTCCCCTCAATCGACCCCTGTCTGCCTGGTGATTTTGGACCATGCTGGGGTCAATCGTCACTGTCACTCCAGGGAATGTCAAGACCCTTCGAAAACCAATAGAGACCACACTGTGGTTTTCGGATTTACGGCACTCGAATCACGTGTGGCCAATTGCCAAGAGTTGCGCAATTTTGGTCTATTTAATTGTTTAAACACCTAAAATATATTCACACAAAGTGAGGTACCCTCAAGCAAAAGCAAAGAATCTAGACTCGCTATCTGCTTGTATTTGTTCCGTCCATGCCTGCATCTGAACGGACTCAGGTTCGGCAGCACGAACGGGCAGCCCAAAACCTGCAAGAGAAATGCTGCATACCAATATCGCAAGTCTCGGCAAATCCACCTGTTAAAACATGGTCTAGTGACTCCATGGTTCAAAACAAGTATAGCAGGTAGCTGGGGTCGTTTAGCTCAAGTTTTACATGTTGGTTTGCTCTGGTCACTTACTATCATCGTAACTGAAAGCACTGGATGGTATACGATGGACCCCTTGCAGAAACCCTCTACAAAGGAAGGCTCATGTCATTCGCACAAATGAAATGGGCAAACAAGGTTGAATCATGGAAACAATTTTCGTCCTCGTTTTGGCTGGGCCAAAACATCTCTCATTCAAGCCACTGGAATTCACCGTTTACATCGATGGCTTCGCTATGCTTCGCTTGCGTGATCGGTGGGAATTGAGTGTCACCAATCCCAACTTGACAGGCTTGCCCTGGGAAGGGCGATCAAAAGGTATCAGGCAGGCAGCTGGGAATGACAACTGTCTAGTGACATTCCCGCAAGTTTTGTGTTTTTGGAACTCTCTGACGCAACCGCTCCAATCTGCCCTGCTCCAAAGGACTGATGGACAAAACCCGCGCACTATACTTATAATCCATGCCAACTGGTGCCTGACTGGGATACACTGAGCGTGCCGGTCTTTTCGAGGGAACCCCCCACAAAAATGGGTGGTCCTGTTTCTTTCCCAAACCAACCCAAAAGGGCACCTGCAGAGCGCCTGGACCTGGACCCCCGATCGGTCCGATCCGCGCCGCCACCGGCAGCAGCGCCGCGCGACCGCGACGGCCTGGAGACTCGCGCCCGAGTCAGATACTCGGCGCGCTTTCCCTTGGGCTGGAAAAGATGGGAAACATGGGCGCGGAATAGAGTGGGTCTAGAAAAATGCAATCGGTCCATCCCCTCTTGGTTTCTGTTTAGGGGAACTGAAAATCATGGGCTGCTTAGCACCCAGCGGAGATCCCTTTAGGAATGAGGGTAACTTTCAATACCTCAGTTTCAACGTGTTATGGAGAATCCAGGCGTTCAGTGATCAGTCTGAAACAATTTGTTTGTTGAGAAATGTATCCCACATGATGACACAATGATGAACATTGCACCAGTCATGGAGATGGGAACTCCAAGAAGGCTCCTTTTCCCAAATCGGGATCTGTCCTCTAAACATCGCCGAATGATTGGCGTTTGTTGCAGGTTGGGGTCTTCTAGAAAGTTCTAGGATTTCCTCCAACGAGAGCGTTTCAGCTTTTCCCTGGCCGGAATCATGAAGCCCTTCTTGGAGGAGAAGGATCTTCACGGTGTGGTTTTCTTTAGGTTCCCTTAAACCAACCCAACCGAGCCTCAAAAAAAGGAACCACACCCTGGGCCCATTCCGTTCTTGCAAAGCTCGTATAGAACGCATCCTATGTTCATATCGGGCGTTCCCCAACATCGGGAACCACTGCAGATGTTTTTCGCGTCCCCATCAAACACTCAACCGTACGTGTAGGTCAATTTTGAACCTCACCCTGAAACAGGGTATAGCGATACCAAGAAAGCCTATTTTGACACATCACTTCCGATGTTGCAAGCACACACAAACACACCATAGACGGCGCCCGAAGCCCTTCGGTCGGTGCCGCAGCCCGCCTCTCTCGCGCGGCGCCATCAGAGACGCTGTAGGCATTGGTGCTTTGTTGCTTGAGTTGTTTTTGTTTGTTCCTTCTCTTTTGACCCAGGGAGCCAGATCTTTCAAATAGGGGCTCCCGATTTAACAATGAACCAGGCTAAATGATTCCCACACACGTGTTCCAACAATATGCCCTGGTGGGCAAAGGGGGCCCACACGTGGACATGACAGGTGAGGATTTATATCCACCGAAACATGCTTGGTTCCCTGTTCATCTTCATAGCTACGTGGCTACGTGGATGGGTCTGGAGGTTGCTTTTTTGCTAAGAGCTTGAATATGCATACGCATAGGCAGTGTCGCGAAAACTTGCACCAGGTGCCACATGCAGAATGAATACCTACCATGACGACGTTCCTTTCATGGGAGAAAAACACAAGTCAACCCTTCGACGAGAAAACCGTTGGGTCGGCTTTAAAACCGGCTGTGGAGATCAAAGTGATCTCACATGCAGAACGTCTCATGTCGGGTTACACGGGTGATTCACCGCAATAGTGCAACTGGGTATGTGTTTTCTGAAACTACCCCTGTTTGGTAGTTTTAAAAGGAAATCAAGGGGAAAAACAAACACTTTGGGGGCAACCCCAAAAAGACGAACAAACCACAACCGCGGTGAGCAGCGGGAAGTCACAACGCTTCCCGTGCTCCTCTATGAATCAAAGTGGATGGATTTGATCCTATCAAGCCAGTTGGGAAATGATAAAACCCTAAAAATGGTGCACCCCCTTTTTGGTTGGTATCTAAAGCAACCAACACGAAACCGTCATTTCGGTTTGTCTTGAAATTCGGGAACCCCAAACATGGATTTCGGGTTTCCGGTTGGCTGTCTCTTTCCTAGGATTTGGAGTCCCCCAAATTGGTGTTCCTTTGGTTTACCTTTGAAACCTACACCGCATCCATTTACCTGGGCTACCTCGTAAAGGCAGGCAAACCAAGAGATCCACCCTTCCAAAACCCAAGAGGAAAACGGGCGGGTTACCTACGACAGTGTCTTGCCCGGGATTTCCAGCCTGCAGGGCAGCCACCGTGGCCTCAAGCTCCGCAATGGTGCGGCCTGGCCAGGGCTCGAGGTTGGCTCGACCATGTGGCCGGCTAATGGGCACCTCAAATAGCCGCACGGCTACTTAGCTAGGTAGAGGTTTGAATAAGGGTACTCTTTTTGCTGTAGTCTATTTTACTAGGGGAACCCTCCCCCAAAAAAACGTAAAGGGCATACCATTTGATAGCCGTTGGGTGGTGAATAGCCGTTGGGTGCTGGTGTAGGTCAACCAGAAAAACACAGGCCTGTGGGTAATAGTCTACCACAAATGGATCAGGAAATCATGCTTTCCCAAATTTTGCCAGGGAGTTTGATACTGTGACTGGCCGAAATCCATTTCACACCATCTAAGAAACGCTGGAACGATTCGATTCCCCTGAAATACCACCAAAAAACAGGTTTCAACTATGGTTTCATGTGGTGGTGCCAAATGGATTGGGCAATCCACAGTACTTAGGTCCCTTTTCCATGTAGGTCCCTGTCCACTCTGATTCCCACGATTGACCCTCTCCTCTTTCAAGGCCTTGGCCCATGCCCTCAACGCCCAGGCCTGTGGTGACTTGGTCCTTAGCAAAATGAGCGAACTCACAGTCCGTGGCGCCTGGGTTTTGACCTCAAAAGGTCGAAAGGAGCCCAGGAACCAGAACCGGGAGAACCGGGAGCCATGGGAAAGTGGTGAAACTCAAGTCGACTTCTGCAAGTCGACGAAGTCACGAGGTTGGTCAAAAAGGAAGCCCTTGATGGGCAACCTTGACATGCCACACTGAAAGCGAACCAAGTCAGGTCTTGCGGCCATGGCATGCAGCCGCGCCAGAAGTCTGAGATCCAGCATATTGGAAGCCGGTGAAACTGAAACAACCTGACACTCTCAAACAGAAGCATGTCTACTCTCCTCACAAGCAAATGCGTTTGAGCACTTCTGTAAGCTTCCTTGTCGAATTAGGCAGTGTTTTCCCTTGATGCGTTAGGCCGCCAAACAACCAACGGGTTAATAACCAGTTAATAAATACACATGCTGACAGCCAACAACGGCGAAACACCATCAACAAAAGCCGACAGCAACTAACATCCAACAACTAATGACAAGCAACCATGACTGACAACATCAGTAACAATCAACCGCCACAAACTGCCACAGCCCACAACCACTAACAGCCATCAAATGCCATGAACAACCAACAACTGCGGACACACGCGAGCGCACAACCACACACACACACACAACACAAAAATCGACCAACAACCTATAATGACCAGCAACAACCGCAAAACAGATACAACCACCAGCAAACAGCCCCTGGCAGGCAACCACCGCTCACAACCAACAGCAAACAACCACTCACAACCGCTAACGAGCAACAACCGCGAACGACCACTAACATGCAACAAACACTAACAACCAACGGATTAACAAACACCGCACAAAATGCAACCATCAATGACTCGTTTAAAAAAGGAAAAAAAGAAACTAGCACGAACAACCACTAAGCAACAACAACCACTAGTCACCAACAACCAATAACACACAACCACAACCAACCAATAATCACTCGCAACCGGCAACCGCTGACAATCAACAAGCAACAACCAAGAACCACTTACGGGCAAACACCAATGATAAGGAACAACCACAAACAACTCACAACAACTGACAACGAACAGCCACGAACCACCGCTTAACAGCGACATCCACTGGCAACCAACAGGCAACCAACAAGCATCACGCAATAACCACTGACACACACTAGCCACTGTAACCAACCGCCAACAACCAGTAGCTGCAGAACCATTCCTGTCGACCCCTGATTTACTACCCCCACCCCCCTTAATACGGCCCCCCCCCTTCCCCCCAAACAGAAACCCCCAGGAAGAGGACCCCATGAGTGCCCGGCTGCGGCCCTCTGCGCCAGCAGTCGGTGCACCTCTGCCTGCGACTTGGCCCAAGCCCGCCGGGATTGGTGGGGAGTGGTGAATCTTTAGGGTTACACCAAACACCCAGCACATGGGGAAGAAAAGACGCTCCTTCTTTCCGGTTCGAAGGGACACCATGGACACCCAATAAAAGAAGAGGGCACTCCCGCGCTTGGGGAGGAGAGTTCCTGAATCCACGATGTGCGGCACGCGCTGCCCGTGACAAAACCACCCCTTCGAGGGTTCGAATCAAGTGCTTGGCAACCCGAGTTGCAAGGGTTACACAGGTTACAAGGGTAGTTGCGGGTTAGCTGATGGTATTTGCTGGTTATGAGCATTCACTGCCAGATGGGTTATTTGTTCCAACAGCACGTACAGGAGTTCTTTTTGCGAATCAAGCGTTCCTTCCGCGCAGCTTGCCGCAACATGAGCACACAAAGGGCTAGTTTCCCTTTCGAACAACTGCCCAAATGGGATCTCCCCACCGAAACACACCTCACCCCAGGATTGAGCCCTCAAACATCACACCACCAAGACGAAGCTCGTTCGATCGGAACTTCCAAGCTCGTCATTTGGCCTTACGACAAATGATCTGGACAAATCATAATAATTTCTACCTCGTACCTCGAATTATTAAAAACAGTAATAAAATACTACCTCGCAAATTAAGGGTCCACCTCGCACCTCGTATTTCGGCGCCTTCCTCTTCTTCAAACGTGTGTGTTTCAAGCTTATTAAGGGCAATTAAGCAGAAACAGCCGGTTTTGACAACTTGAGACCAGTCTCAATCAGAGACAAAGAAGGGCCGGATTTTCTCAAACGTCTGTGTTTTCAAGCTTTTCAAGGCCAACTAAGCAGAAACGGCTGGTTTTTGAGAATTTGAGGCCAGTCTGAATGAGGGACAGAGAAGGGCCGGATTTTCTCAAACGTCTGTGTTTTCAAGCTTTTCAAGGCCAACTAAGCAGAAACGGCTGGTTTTGGAAATTTGAGGCCAGCCTGAATGAGGGACAGAGAAGGGCCGGATTTTCTCAAACGCCTGTTTTCAAGCTTTTCAAGGCCAACTAAGCAGAAACGGCTGGTTTTTGAGAATTTGAGGCCAGTCTGAATGAGGGACAGAGAAGGGCCGGATTTTCTCAAACGCCTGTGTTTTCAAGCTTTTCAAGGCCAATTAAGCAGAAACGGCTGGTTTTTGAGAATTTGAGCCGGATTTTCTCAAACGCGTGTGTTTTCAAGCTTTTCAAGGCCAATTTGCGAGTTTTAATGAGAGAAAGAGAAGGGCCGGATGTTGTCAAACGAGTGTATTTCAAGCGTTTGAAGGACAATTAAGCAGAAACGGCTGGTTTTTGACAGCTTGATGTGTCTTAACCAGAGACGGACTTTCTCAAACGTGTGTGGTTTCAAGTTTCTTCAGGCCAAATAAGCAGAAACGGCTGGTTTTGGAGAACCTCATGCCCGCCTCAATGAGAGACAGAGAAGGGCCGGATTGTCTCAAACATCTGTGTTTTCAAGCTTTTCAAGGCCAACTAAGCAGAAACGGCTGGTTGTTGGGAATTTGAGGCCAGTCTTAATGAGACAGAGAAGGGCCATATTTTCTCAAAGGAGTGCGGTAGCAAGTATTTTGGGGCGAAATAAGCAGAAACGGCTGGTTTTTGAGAACCTGATGCCCGTGTTAATGAGGGGGTCGGAATCTCGCACACCTGGCCACACTTGGCGCCCCGGTGCGCCGAACAACACCCCACAGATTTGGGAAATCCTTATTTCGGAAACCACCTCGTAATTCGGGGTTTGGGGCTCGCCTCAGGCCAGTGAGCTCGCTATAATTTGTCTAGAAATGATGCTGGAAGCCATCAAGATCAATGCGCAAATATTATATAACCCAATTGCCAATAGGCGACATCTAAACGCCACGGGGAAAAACTTGGAAGTGACCTCCGAGTCTGCCCAAACCCAGTCTTTCCAACCGGCGAGGTGCAAGGACCAAATTCTCAGTTCTCAGATGCGTCTGTTTGAACAAATCAAGCTTGACCCCTGCCCTGAGGGTCCTGGGGCTTGGTATGCAGAACCC